AACCTCCATTCCCTGCCCCCATGTGCTGCTGGCGTGGAGGAGATAGGGAAATGGGGAGCAAAGCTGAGCTGGGAAGAAGGGCTGGGGGGGAAGGTATTTTAAGATTTGGTTTTATTTCTCAATATCCTACTCTGAAACAATTGGTAACAAATCGACTTCCCCAAGTCAAGTCTGTTTTCCCCATGATGGTAACTGCTGAGTGATCCCTCCCTGTCCTTGTCTCCAACCACCAGCCTTTCCTTGTGTTTTCTCTCCCCTGCCCAGCTGAGGAGGGCACTGATAGAGCGGCTTTGGTGGGCACCTGGCCTTCAGCCAGGGTCAACCCACCACAGGTAACAATGTGCAATATTGCTTAGGCCTCTCATAAATAAGACGTTATTTGTAAACAATTTCAAAGATAAAAGAAAATCAGTAGAGATAATAGACTTACCTGACACCACAGAATAATCTGTTGGGGTATTGCATTAAAGTAAAACATCTCATCAGATACCAGAAGTCTTAAATGGACAGAAAAATTTAAATATGAAAAGTATTTTGAAGTATAGCGAGACACTGTGGAGAAATCTCCATTTGAAAACATTTCTGCATTTTAAGCGTGTTTTAATTTGACACTTTAATCCATTTCATACTCACAGTATTTTCATTCCATTCCTGTTTCTACTATACTTCAAACACCAAATTCAAGAGAGATGAAATGCAGGTGAAAATTTACCAGGATTACATACTTTTTAAAGAAGAAGTGATTTTCTCAAGATGAAGCTATTGCCTGAGAGAGCTCAGTAAGAAACTGACACAAGCTTCTTGTCACTTTGTCATTCCCTCCATGATAAATAAAGTCACTTTATAAATGAAAAATTCTGCAATATGGATTGCAACTGCTGAAAGGTAAAGGTACAAATGCAACTGGATTATTTATAACCATAGATAAACATGATGGAGACCACAAGACATAAAACACACACACCAAAGCAGTGCTTAGTATTTAATCCCTAAATCTATATTTAGCCAAGTAATTAGACCTGCTCAAATATATGAAACACTTGTTATGTCTGCTGATCAATGCCTAAAAGACTCAGTTCACAGACTCACTAAAGTTATTTAACTTTTATTTGATATCTGGTGTTTTCAGGGATTCTGTAATTAAATAACTGTTTCATATTGGCACAAATCTATTGATTTAATAGAGGTATCTAAATTTATGTTAATTTAGTATGCTGCACATTTTCACTTACGGGTGCTAACATCTGCGTGACACAATATTCAAAGATCATTTTGCTATAAAACCCTAGACTTTGATAAAAAAACTGTTAGGAAACATTGAAGGTGCCTGAAAGGCTGAACTGTGAATAAAAGATGGTAATTCACCAGCTGACTCAAAAAGTCTGTTTCATGTAGTTAAGTTTTGTGGACTGTAATTTTTTTTCCCTTCAGGAAACTAGTGGTTGGAATGATAAAATTCATCATAATGAAGCAATGCATAGTCAAGAACCAAACTATAATCTCACAATCATGAGTAAGATAGAGATTAAAATCAAAACTTATTGAGAGATGACACTTTCAATTGTAGAATGACACTTCAAATCCAGGCCTAAAGGCCGTGGAAATGGCATCTTCTGGAGCTGGCCAGAAACTTTTACTTTAGGGGAAATGCCTTTTTTAAAAAAAATAAAATTAGTTTCTTATGGACCTGAATAGGTACTCTTCTGTTGGAACTAAATCTGTGGTCTTTAACTTAGGAAACACTGAAATGAAATCTGTTTTCAGAATTCCCTAAAGTTTATTAGCAAAATAAATTTAATTTTTTTTTTAATCAATTTTGCTGTTTCCACTTGGCACACAGCAAAGCTGACAAGGATTGCATCATACAGCCAGTAGTGTGCGCTGGCAGCCCAGAAAGCCAACCGTATCCTGGGCTGTATCCGGAGAGGTGTGGCCAGCAGGTCGAGGGAGGGGATTCTGCCCCTGTACTCTGCTCTGGTGAGACCCCACCTGGAGTGCTGCGTCCAGCTGTGGAACCCTCAACATCGGAAGGATATTGACTGGTTGGAGTGAGTCCAGAGGAGGCCACGAAGATGCTCAGAGGGCTGGAGCACCTCTGTTATGGGGACAGGCTGAGAGAGTTGGGCTTGTTCAGCCTGGAGAAGAGAAGGCTCCAGGGGGACCTTATTGCACCTTCCAGTACCTGAAGGGACCTACAAGGAAGCTGGGGCCTG